CTTATTAATTATTAATTATTTATTCAATAAATTGTGACGTTTATGTCATTTTATGCTATACATTGAAATGTAAATATTAAAGTCTTTTAGATCTTAAGAGAAATTCTTATTTTCACATAATTATTGTTTAAATATTAGTTATAACTATAAATATTAAATTTAGATAAGCAATCTTCATATCTTTGAAGATACATGTAACGTATCCATTTTCATTTACGAGAATGTTTCCTGTACTATCTTTTTTTATAATTGCTATTTCTTCATTATTATTGCTATTTCTATGGAATGCCAAACGAAGGCAGAAAGAATAATGTGCAAAAATCTGATTTATCAAAGTGTCCTTTATTCATGATTTAAGAACACATCTGTACACGTCGATGTCCGTCGGTCGAATCTTCTGTTACTCCATATCAGCTCTCTTCCGTTTACCTTTCTCCTTCGAGATTATTTTTAAATAATAAATATCTTAATTCTTACAAATAAATACAGTTTCGAAGGAGAATCTTTTTGCTATTATTGTTTGTCTCTTGTCTATTGTCTTGATCATTAAACGTTTCGAATTATGTTTTTTAATCCGCAGGAATTCGATATTACAAAGACTTGAAAATAACGATTATATATGATTTATATATGTCTTTCGAACAATACATTCCGAAAAAAGAAATTATTACAAGAGAATATAGAAAATAGATTTATTCTATTGAGTTGATATCGGATATGAATACATGCAACGTTTTCGTATTGCGTGTATATAATGCGGTTCTCTGAGAATAGATAATTCGGCGAAATCCAAATATTGCCGAAAAAATGTGACCGTGAAAGTCATGACGATATAATCGCTACAACATAAATCAAATTTTAATATAATCGCTACAACATAAATCAAATTTTAATATAATATAAAATCTTTGTAATAAGAAAAAATAATTCAAAAAAATTTCAAGCATTTGTAAGACGTTAAACAGTATATATATAATATATATAAATTTAAATATTTAATATATATAAATTTAAAAATAAATATGTAGTATTTATATATAAAATTATTAATTATTATGCATTAACGTTTGACTTTCTAATCTATAAATTTAATATTTAATGAATACCGTTTTCTAAACAGTGAATGCTGATAATTTTAACCAACATATCTCAAGTACTAGGTATTAAAATATATAAACAATATCAATAAGATACTAAAATTTATACTCTAAGAAAGTTTCTACTTTTATATTTACTGATTAATATCTTATAGTATTCAAAATTACCGCTACTGATTGAATTTTGTTTACCCTGCACTGCTTGCATTGACTCTAAACCCAGTGCAGCTAGTTCAGTGAACTCGTGCACTAAGTTCTGTTACACTGGAATAACGAACAGTCTCATTGATGTCATTTCGGGAATAGAAACGCTTTAGTGTACACTTGCATATTAGTTCAAGAAGTTCAGGAATAAAAAACAAACCTATTGTTGACACCAGTTCTACAATAAATAACATTTCAATAAACCTGTTCTTTTTGGCTGAACGGTTGTACTTCACAGTTCACAGTTTATTTTTTTTAGGTTTGTTTTTTATTCCTAAATTTCCTGTATATTGTATATTTTATATATTATTTTATATACTAATATACTATTTCCCAGATTCTATACTTCGTTAATTACCTTGTTGAATAATTATGTCTTGCATCAAGCGTATACATAAAAATACGTAAATCATAAATGCATGTTTAAATGTTGAATATGATTTCCCTTATATAGAAAGTTTGATAAATTTTGCAAGCGAGAAACGGACGCAATCTAGCGGTAATTTTCTAATTATTGTATTTAATGATAGACGCAGTTTTGTACAATTTCTGTTGCCGATTTGCTGATTATGCCAGCAGGCTCTACTTGATTTCTGTTACAATTTTGCTGCCACGACGTGACAACACACTGCTTGATTTCTGCCAACACAGCTGATAAAGTAGATCGCGTCATATACCTGCCGCATTTTGTCATCACGTCGTGCTTCGTTTCTGTTGCGTTTCTGCCAACCTAGCTGACTTGCGAATGCCGACACATGCTTATGAATTGTATTTTCTACTTTATTGTTTTAACTTTATTGTTATAATCAATAGAATGTTTTCTTTTAACAGAATATGTTACGCTTAATGATGAGAAATTGAACTTTTGAACTTTTTAACAATTAGTAGTAATAGATTTATTCGTGCCTTTCGGCCTTGAATGGGTTGGCACGTGGTGGTGCCTACATCGATCTTACAAATTTTCCTCTGAATATATTTGCATATATATATAATATTTAACTATTGAAACCTTCCTTCTTCTTCCTTTCGTCTCTAATTTTCCTCATCCACATTCTTCCTTGAACCTGCCCCTTCAAAATGCTTCTTCTTGTTAAAGCATTCTCTTCTTTCATCTCCTCGCATTCATTTATTAGATGTTCTATCGTTTCTTCACCTTTTCGGCAAATTCTACAATTATTTTCTTCTGTTTTTCTCCAGAATCTGTTTGCTCTTTCCTCATTTCCGCATCTAAATCTAGCCACCAACGACTGATCTCTTCCTCCATATCCCTTTCTTAGATAATCTGCTCTTGTTTCTTCTCGTATTTCCCTGTTATTTCTATTATATC